ACTCCTGGTGGGGTTTTTTTTTGCAACTGAAATTCACAGTCAGAACGAATTAGATAAGCCATTTGCAGTGTGCATGACGCTCAAAAGACACATTTTTGTCTGTTCCAGGTAGCTTTAGCGCTAGCTATCGTGGACAGGTATGTTGCTATCGTGTATCCACTACGCTACGCAACCATCGTCACTTACAACGTAGTCTGCGCGTGCGTCATCGGAATTCATTCATTCATTGGAGCATTCAGTTTCGCCCCTCTCTTACCGGGCTTCAACAACTGGTGGAAAACATGCACATGCACTTTCAACTTGGTGCTCTCCACAGGCTACCTTTACACTCTTGTCTCCCTCATCATGATCTCCATGGTGGTCTCCATGACCTTGTACTCGAAGGTTCTCCACGTGGCACGGCGGCATCAACACAGGATTCACGCCGTTGTCTCACAGCAGCCCACGTCCGAGGGGAGGGCAGTCGGTGTCTCAAGTCGCGGGACTCCTCACACAGGCGTTCGTACATTACAGGAAAATCTGCAGTTTGAGGGACGTGAAAGAAATATTTCTGGACGCACAAAGAACAACGTCCCCCAAACCACAGAGAACAATGTACAGTTTGGTGAAGGAAAGAAGCAGTTTAATTCTTTTCCCAACGCCAGACTGGGTTCAGAACAGTTGGTCCTAGCGTCAGAGCCACAGTTTGAGTTGAAAAAAGATGGCTCTCTTTCCCACACTCATCAGGAATCTGGTGAGGTCTCAGAAAGAAGATATTCTCACGACTCGACACATGGTGAAGACAATCGTGTAGTGTGCCAGAGCCCAAGACAACTGACTCTGGCCTGCTCTGGGTGGTCAGTGATATCCAGAGGCGACCCGGACAGGGCTGGGGACGAAGTGTCTAACAGAAGTGTGTCCGGCAGCTGCACGTCGCCACCAGGGTTCCACTGTCCTCGTGCTGGTCAGATTGTGGTCAAGTGTGACCAGCTGTACACCAACGACAACATCTGCCTGGGGACACCACGGCGGGGAATGTCTCTACTGACAAGGGAGCAAAGCGGTGACAAAAGTGACCTGGTCCGAACTGACCCCGCTCGAGAGGCAGAAAGTTCACATCCAGGCAGCGCCCTGCAGACGCTGACGTCACGGGTAGGTAATGACGGACAGGGTTTTCCGGATGCTGGTCAAAACCAGGGACCTCTTCTAGAGTGTCGGATAAAGTTCACACAATCTTCTATGGACAAGTATAGCAGCAAGCAAAGCAGAAACTCCTCTCAAGATCAACACAAATCCAGGTCACCTCATTTGCCCAACTATGAGTCAGCATACGAAGATCACATGGAGGTTTCCGAGAAATCTCAAGGTGACACAACATATGTCAGTAGTGAACAGACACATTGTGTGCCTATTCCATTCATACAGGCTGATTCACAGCATACCAAAGTGGAACATCCCGGAAATGCCGAATCTAAACAGGTCAGGAATGTGCCTCTAGCCCTGCAGTTCCACCAAAAAGTAATGGGCGTGTCTTCAGTCTTGAGGCAGACAACTGGTAGTGGTCACTCGTTTGCTCCGTATGACACCAGCTCGCCTGTTTCGGCGCAGACTAGCACCAACCAGGCACAGGACCGAACAAACCTGGCACAGGAAACTATCGAGTGAGTTTGATAGCTTTCCTGAAAGTTAAAAAAGTTGGGGGAGGGGGCGATATCTAACGGGATACATGGATTTAGTGACATCACAAAATTCCCTTCATATTGATCTCAGGGGTG